GGCCGGGGAAAAATTGGGAAGAGGAAGCTCGAGTCAGTCCGCAGTGGCGGGGAGCTCTTCAGCATCCTTCTCGAGCAGCAGCTGATCGCGAGCGGCGAGGTGTCGTTTCTTGAAGGCTTGCTTGAGAGCATTAAAAGAGAAGATTTGGTCTCACAGCTAAAGCAGTTCGTAGAGGAAGGGGAAGTTAATGCTCCTGATGATCAACCAGATGTGCATGAAAAACGTAGGTGGATCATTTTTTTAACACACGCACACCGAAGCGACCCCAGTAAATCCGTACGAATCGCCTAGCGGTGGGTACGCTTGGAGCAAACACACAGCGCGGCTGCCCTCCGTTGCCTGCTGTAGCTGAGCCCGCTGCTAAGGGTGTTTCTGCTACTAACTGCTGCTCGGGGCTGTGTTGTGCCTGGAAACGTACCATGAGGGCAGCATATGCTGCAAACAGCCTTCCGGAGCAGAAATTTCTTCTTGTATCAAATGGTCACTTGGAAATCCTGCAGTGTACTTGGAATTCCGGCTATCCAGCAGCTTTTCAGACATGGTATGACCTTCAGTATGTACAATGCAGCAAGAGTGGTAGCATTTTGCTTAAAAAAAAAAAAAAAAAATTAAAAGTTGTCTCATTTCTTACTAAATACACCACTAACTTGATACATTTCTGCTATTTCAGGTCTGCTGAAGGCAGCTTTTGAAGTCATATGTGAAAATGTCGGGAGAGACTGGAAAATTCTGATGCGAAAACTTGGCTTTTCTGAAGTGAAAATGGAGAGAGTAGTGGCAGCTAATCCATTTAATTTGCGGGAACAGTTGGCTCAGTCACTTCGAGAGTGGCAGAAATGGAAGGGAAGAGATGCAAAGGTGACTGACTTAATAAAAGCTCTTCGGGGCTGTAATATGAATTTGGTGGCAGACAGAGTTGAACAGAAGCTCTTGCCACTGAACGCTGGAACCAGGTGAAATCAAGATAAAAACACTTCTGTGTCCCAGCACGTGGGGAAGAAGGCAGAGACGTAGAGGTGCCTTCTACTTTTCTGAAGCAAAATCAGTATCATTGGTTCTGTTACTTATTCTGTCATTAATTTATATGTCTTAATAGGTTGATTTGTAGTCAGATGAATATTAACATAAAAACAAATTCCTTTCAGGTAATGCTTTGTAGTTTGATGCTTCCTTTAAGAAATTTTAACTTTTAGAAGACCTAAACTCCATTTTTTAGAAATTCTCACACTTTTGTTCTACCACCCACCTGAAAACAAGGTTTGCTTTACTGCAGGTACTTTTCAGATATATCTTCTCTGAAACGACATCCATGGGACACTTCTGAGGCAACTGTAATTTATTAAAATTTCACAGGGATGTTGGATTTTTTTTTTGTGGCCTATTATAACTGTAGTGTGAAAGGGAGAAGGAGCAGACCTCTTAGTTGTGTACTGGGTTTTCTTTTTGAGTAGTGTAAGATAATACCTTCCATAATTTGTTGAATACATAACCTCAGACCCTAAGACTGCAGTGCAAGAGGGCTAGTAACTATTGTGGTGGCTTTTTCCTGGCAGAAAATGTGCCTGGGTTCAAAATGAACTAGTTGAAATCAAATGTCTGGATCAAGTGCCTTCATCACCCTGAAGGAGATGTTCTTCTGAAACTATCAAAGAAATTGTGTGTGTCTCACAGATGTTTACAGCAGCCTCTTTTTACTGCCGTGAATGTTCTAAGATTCTTTACTAGGAATCCTTTTGTCACAGAGCCAGGTCATGTCTGCTGGAAGTTGCAGCTCACCTCATAAGTAAGCCGCAGTTATCTGTGCTCTTGGTAACAGAAGTGTGTACTGTAACAAAAACCTAGAAAACAAATTGGTTTCTTTTTAGTGGAGGGGTGTGAGAGCCTACTGAGAGCAAATGTATAGTACTGACTTTCCTCTAGCGATATCCAGTGAAGGTCAGCTGTCTTTTGCCACAGTTTGTTCTCTTCAAAGGTCGCTCCAGATCCAATAGCTCTTCCAAGTTCTCTGCAATTTTTTAGTTCATTCCTGTTCCTTTACACTTTTTGAAAGTGGTTGTAAGCAACTCGCAGAGGAAGGAGGATTTGTGAACGAGACCAGATTCAGTTTTCAGCTTTAATTTGGAACAGACCTCAAAAAATGGCCTTCACGCCTAACATAAAACTGGAAAAATTGCACAAGCTTCAAGACATGCAGGGCTGTAGAGGCCTCTGGGGACTATCCCCTGTGTGAGGGAGAAAAGTTCTTTGAAATCATTATTGCTTGAATGAGTAGGATTGTTTGTTACTGCAAACAACATCCTTCTAACTACATAAATAGATACTTGAAGAAGAGAGGCTTCTTTTTTGCTACTGTACCTGTGTGACTTTTAGCTCAAGTTCTTTTTACATGGTGCAATTACTGTGAAGGCTAGGTGCCAGCATATAATATACTGCTACTCTGCATAAATGTGGTGACATTGATAATTTTCAAGTTTTTGTTGCAGTTGGTGCCTCTAGTTTAGATGATGACACTTGAATAATTGCTTGTAGTTAATGGAAACTGCTGTAATGTGAACTTACCTTTTCATTAAGGTTTCTTCCTTCAATGATTCTCACAAGTATTTTTCTAATCGTAGTATTTAAATATCAGGGATTGTATACAAGCAAAGGAGCAATGGATTATACAGAAGTTCCCACTTGTCTGCCTTTTGGGCAGGTGCAGTTCTGTAAGTATTTGGTCCAATACTTGTCAGTATTGATTGTCAATTCCGTGCTTCCAGTAGGAGATAACGGTGCTGCACTTCAGCTAAATGATGAGCTCAAAAGGTTTTTGTTTCATAGATACAATCTTCATTCTACAGTATTTAAAGAAAATGATTGCTTCAGACTTTTTTCCTTGATGCCTCTAAGCAATCTTTGTGAGCAGGGTGGAGTGGAAGTGAAGTTAGCAAGATGAGTTGTATTTGTGGTGAAACAGCTCTGCAGCAGTTCCAAGTTCAATCTGTCCAGAAACATGTTTTTTGTATCCACTTGTAGTAAGTCTTCTGGTTCACAGAAGATGATACACTTATCTGGAATTTGAAAAGAAATATCCTGCCTGCTGTACATAACCAGGAGATTTTAAGAATCATTAGGAATAACTTGTTAGTTGTAGCCAAGCGCTCATCAGCTACGAGAAATATTCTGCCTCAGAAGATAAAAACCTCGTTTCTTTAAGGATTTGTACATAGTGGATATTTGACTGCGTATGAAAGCGATGAACTAGGCTGTATCAATCTGTGCAGTACCTCAGGGCCAGTTAAAACCTGGTTTTATTAGAGATTAAAAAGATGATTCTGTGAGAACAAAATCAAATGGAACAAAAACTTTTTATTGGGAGGCGGGGTAAGGAAAAAGGATGCAATTTTTAAGGAAATGTGTTGTGGTCCAGTTAGCAATCTTTTCTTTGCAAATGGAGTATTTTTGACTCAAATAGACATATTTTTATAACTTGAATTCAAGTTTTATATTGTATAATTTTGTGCACATCTCATTAAAAAACACTTCCTTAAAAAAAAAAAAGAAATTGAACTGGGTTTTCATATTATGGGATTGCTGTCTATGATGAGATCTCTAATTGTGAGAAGATAAATGTTAAGGACACTTTTAAAGCAAGGAGTGGCGCTAAACAGGTGTTACGTTACCAATGTCCTTCTTGGAACTTTTTAAAAAAAAAAAAAAAAAGGCAAAAAGCTTTGTCACTAAATTTCTCAGAAGTGCTAAAAAGGCTGTAGTTCTCCTAGCAGGAGTAGCATTTGAATGCTATCACTCAGGGAAGTGTTAAGAAAATCAATTCTATGCCAGCCCTCAGGAGCCTAAAATGGAGTCACAGTGCAGCGCATGCATGGGAGATAGGCCTTCTGTGAGTAAATCCCTTACTGTTGTTTTCCTTATTTTTTCCTCTGCTCGTCATGCTCTGGTAAGGATGTTGTATTTGTTTTACAATTAATTAAAAACATAGCTAATTCTAAACCTGTTCAGGCTTTTAGAGGATGTGTTCAAAAGTTAAACTCATAGAGGCTTCAGTGTTCTGTGAAGTATTTACTGGCACTGATGTGTTAGTGCGCACTTAAAGCTTTGAATGCATAAGACAAGTAACTTAATCACCCATTTTATCAAATTCTCTCTGATACTCTGCAAGAGTATCTGCCTGTGAGGAACTACTAAAACCTTTTCCGTTCG